TTTAACTATATGTATATTAATAGACTCTGCAATTTTGGCTAACTTTGCCTCTGAAACTCCTTCACTTGACCCATACAGGTTTATTAAATTTCGATTGATTTTCCTGAGACTTGAATTTATTTGTTAAAGTAATGTTCAACAATATATTCAATATATGAGGTTAATCAGATATGAATACTTCAAATTCCAAGAAAAATTTTCGACAATTTGAAATCAAGATTTACCAATATCAACAGCTTAAAAACTTATCAAAAGAGCCATTCCACACGATTCATTAAAAGTCCAGGTTTTTTTTATATACAATGTAAACAGCTGTTTTTTTTAATTAAAAAAAAGAGAACTTGTAAATCTAAAGTCCAGGCTTTTTATATAATTGACAGCTGCTTTTTGTATAAAAATAGAACTCGTAAATTTACTTGTCTTGTCATTGGTTATTTGCAAAATGATTTTATTAAGATATACGGATTGTACACTCAAGTACTCTGAAAGTTATATATAAAAGATGCTTGAGTTTCTTAATGATAATATCTGTCGCTTTTGAAAATCGGATTTTATAACAATTTATTGGAATTCCCATGGGTACCAATTGCGTCCCTTTATTAGCATACCTATTGTGCAATCATATGAAGCAGAATTTGTCCAAAATCTTATAAACAGAAGAAAACACTTGCTGTGGCCTTTAACTCGATATACCGTATAAGTAGAAATTTTAGCGAGGATTTAATTTTGGCATTTTTAGCGAGGGTGCCGAGATCACTTAAATTGAATATCGCTAAAAATTAATTGCGTTTATTTTGTAAAAGCTTCTTTAATATACATTTTAAAATCGCTAAAATAACATCTCGCTAAAAATAAATTACAAGTTTATAAGGACAAATCGCTAAACTTGAGTCTCGCTAAAATTTCCACTTATACGGTATCTACGACGTTCTTATCCATTCTTATGTCGACAAGATATATCGTGGTGAGCCTGAGATAGAGGATACTACAGACTCTGACACATCTGTTTCATATTTGGATATTTTACTTGAAAAAGACGTTTAGTCCATGAGCCAGGACATGAATTTTTCGGTATCGGTACCATCTCGGGTGAATAATTTTCATAGTTAATTTTCGAAGGGCATACATCTCTACCTTCAGAAAATATATGATAGCATTCAATTGATTGTGGCTTTAATGGTGTATCAACTGTTTATATACACCAATCCAACTTTTTACGTTCTCTCAGCTGTGTCTTTGAAAGCAGAAGGTTGGTTTTTCAATACACAATTTCTATCTTATTTTGGATGATATTTTCTTGAAAATTCTTTTGAATGCAGACCATGCTTTAACCCTGTTCAGTTATTATTCAATATTGGTTCTGTGATGAGCCGTCTAAATTATACAGGAATATAATTCTACCTTAAGCTTGATCATTAAAGTGGAATACACAATTTTGAAGTTTTGATCAAAGGAAAGAAATTACTACTGTGACAATTTTCACACCAAAAGCATATTGCATGTTCATTAATTTAAAGAATTTTTATCACGTATTAGCATTTCAAAACATTATTTCAGTAACAAATATATATTTAACTTGATTAAATAGTAAATCTTTATCCCTATCTTAAAAATGAAAATTGAAGGAAAAATCCCTTGATTTACCCTGTGCGTATATTCTTTATTTAATTAACAAAGATATTGTGAATATGTCAGATCTCAAGTAGAGCCTTTACGTAAAATGATTTATTTATTTATTTGATCCCATGATGAACCATGGTGATAATTGGACACTTGTATGTTCATCTTAGTTAAACGTGTAATATATTATATATTTTTGACATCAAAATTAAGCAACATATGTGCACAATCATATATGTGCTTTGTGGGCAGTGGGCTGTGTTTTACGACCTGCAATGGCCTGACAACCCTTCCTTCCACTAGTCCGGGTAGAGCGAACCCGTACACTCTTAAGGGATCCCTCTAGGAGAGCAGCACTCTCTACACAAAGCGCTGATGGGTCTCAAACCCTGTTGATTGAGGGCTTGCCGACCTACCTGGTATAACGCATGTAAAGACTCTGAACCGGCGGACTCTGCGGAGGAATCCGTCATGGTTCAACGGTGAAGAAGGCGGGCACAGCAAGCACCGTGGAATGCTTGCAGCAAGGCAAGGCACATATAGCACGTCTTGATCATCCGCTGTATCTGTCTCCATCTCCAGACGTCCTGACATCTGTCTTGCCACTGGATCTAGATGGTTGCGGGCGAAATAGTGAGGTCGGTGACGCACAACCCTTCTTCAATTTAATGCGCAAGTCATTGATCATCTTCCATCCCTTCTATCATCCACCCCAAAGCCATGTGGCGACAGGCGAGCAACGAAGGTGACAGGTGCGGGTTCACTGGAAGTCGGTAGTCGCGGACCTGCACACAGGCGGCACAGGCCATATGGTCGCTCTTCAGACACCGGAGCAACGTTGAGGTTCGGCAGCCAACTGTGCAGCCCTCTTTTGGAACGCACTGCTCACCACCAAGGCAAGAGGAGAGGATTAGAAAAGGTATCCCAAACGTTGCCTGCCCCACCCTTCCCTAGCCAGTTTACCGCGGCTGATGGGGACCCTACACATGCGTTCGAAATAACAAGAAACAAGAAGAACAAGAAGAAAACAAGGATCAAAACTACGTCATTGTTAGGAAGAGAGACAGACAGACAGTTCGTTTGTTCACCAAGGCTATGTGCGGCACGGAGTGCTGGACAGATCATCGTCTCACAGTCTCTAAACTTCTCCTCTCAACTTCCGGATCAAACTCAGGATACATCCTCAGGAGACTAAGGTTTCAAAACATCTCAACGTTGGTAAGCTCAAGTTGCTTTCCACCTCTCAGTACTTTGCTGACACCCTGGAAGAACGCCTACACTCCACCCTGCTGGTTGACCACGACGTGGAAGCAGCATGGAACACACTTCGTAATACAGTGTAAATTACAGCCTTCGAGTGTCTTGGGCCCTCCATAAAAAACACAAAGACAGATAGTTTGATGAGAACCGTGCCGAAATCACGTAGCTTATAGAGGACAAACATCGCGCTTACAAGGCGCCCAGATGATCCCACCTCCACAGCCAAAAAGATGCTCTGAGGAACGCTCACAGCATAGTACAGCAAAACTTCGGAATATGCAGGACTCCTAACTGAATGCCAAAGCTGACGAGATCCAACGCTATGCCGAATCTCATGCCATCAACGACGAAGCCATCAACCGACTGCCCAGGTTCCCATCAACCAGTCACTGGACGCCTTTCCCACGTTGGATGAGATCCAGAAAGCAATTGTCTGTTGTAAACTGGCAAAGCACCTGGCGGATACTCCATCCCAGCTGAGATTTACAAAGAAGGGGGCGTGGCTCTAGTCGAAAAACTCCATCGTCTGCTTGTGCGAGGATCGACCTGACCAGTCACCTCCGCACCCACCGTCCAGGTCATCCCCATGGCTTCCCCCACGAAGATTTACTTATCTTTTTCTTTATACAATTTTTTTAGGTACATGTAATTGTTGAATAAAATTTGTAAAAATATGCAATTTTTGTTAGAATCAAGGCTAGTAACTGAATTAATGCTCTTTTAATATGTTCATCATATCTTGGAGTAATTCTGGTAGAACCTTCTATCACGGTTGGCAACTGTGTCACAAATTCTTTACAGGTTGCAAATATATTGAGCTCAAAATACCTCATTTGAGCAAATAAAGGGCAATAACCGTGTCTCCAGCATTGAAGCCACAACAGATTTGATGCTATCATACATTTTCTCACTAGTTAGGGGTATACTTTACCAAATATCACTATAAACTTTATTCACCCAAAATGGTACCGACCACCCCCAGTGGCTCATAGACTAGTTAATAATCAGCTAACAACCAATCTCTATGATAAACGTGATGACTTTAACTTTTCTATCGTCAACTTCCCTTACTTATACAGGAATATACCTTCATCATACCTGCATTCGGAGTAAATATACATTGTATCATCTCAGTTGATTTGATAAAAAAAAAACATTAGCTACGTATGAACAATTTCTAAAAAAAGAGGTAAGTTATTGACGAACAAGTTGATGAAAAAAGAATTTCAGCTGTCTCATTTAAAGTCATCATTTTCAAGGTTTTATGGCTTATACAATGACCTTATCAGCAAAATCTGTTTATCGTTGTTGACTGATGTTATTTATACTAATTTGTAGTCCATTATACACTAAATTGACGACGGATTTTACCGTTATTTCCTAATTATGACAAGGAGCACACGGCGGATGTGACCAGTCGGCAGAGGTTTCTCACTCCTCCATGGCACTTGAACCGTCCTCTGATGATTCGGAGGTCCGTGTTTTCTCTGCGCTTGTTTTGTATTGTTTTATGGACTTTGATATTGAATACTGCTGGTAATCTCCATATCCCTCTCACTCCCCCATGGCACTTGATCCAATCTCTGAAGTTTTTGAGGTCCGTATTTGCTTTTATTTGGTTTTGTTTGATGGATTTTTGATCCTGAATACTGTTTGTTATTTCCGTATGATTCATTGTACACCTTCTTTTTTGAATATACATTTTATTGCAAGCTATAAATAGATCTACATGGTATTTCGATTAATTAATGTCAGTGATTCTATTTCAGTAAGTGATTCCAACTATTTGTATAGGTGATATCAACTGCTAATGACGGCTCGAGGAATTTTGAATCATATCCCGTGATTCCATGTACGACGACAGTGATATCATTTATTCGGTCTATGATGGAATTTTAATTAAGCAGACGCTTTAACATTTATGACATCGAAGAAATTTTCAATTTCCCATATTCAATTACATTGTCATGAATTCATATATATATATATATATATATATATATATATATATATATATATATATATATATATATATATATATATATATATATATATATATATATCTTATCAAAGGGTTTAAAAAGTTTATCTACAGTTCTTACACATTGTAGTGTCACTATCTAAAAACACGTGTAAGTAACTTCAACGTATTTGTAAATCCCCGAACAAGGGTCCACTCCGCCTAAGTCTTCCCATCTAGATGGAACTGGGCAGCGAGTTTCATTATCACATTTTTCTGATAACTGGCCCTGTACATCTAATCGGCAGTTAGTATTGGAATTTGTACCAGGACACACAACAGCTTCGGTGCGACCATAATTGGCAGACTCTATTTTTAGTCTTTTGGAGTTCTCACAACGGATTTCTCCGTCATCTGCCTCACAGATTATTATGGTCCTTAGTTCTTGAATATAAAAAAAATGCCATTTTATCATTAATAAAGCTTCAATCTACGATATTGCAATGCAATTCTCGGGTACTTATAGAAAGATTAATAAAACATATACTGACCTGGTTTTTGCGCCTCCTTCAAGTCGGTCTGTAATTTCTTTTTCTCTTCTTCACATTTGTCTATATCTTAAACAGTAAATTTTAATTACATCATGAAAAATTATCTCATATAACTATAGATTCTTAGTTAAATGCGAGGACATAATTGTTGCGTTGTTTCGCGAGACAAAAAGAAAACTGACACCTTCCAGAAAATATGTCTACGAAAGATCCTGCGAGTAAGATGGCCAGACAAAGTGTCTAGTGAAGAAGTCTATCGTAGAACAAAGACAGCTAGAGCAGAGCAAGCGAAATAATAGCCCTCAGGAAGTGAAAATGGATTGGCCATGCACTGAGAATGGATAACACCAGGATATGTACCACTGCATTAATATGGCATCTGGAAGGAAAGAGAAAAGTAGGGCGGTCAAAAACAACTTGGAGAAGGACAACGGAGCAAGAGAGGCTAAAACTTGGGTGGCAAAGTTTGGCATCAGCGAGGGCAGCAGCCATAGACAGAGGCCGGTGGAGGCAGTGTATTAGGGCCTTATGTGCCAGCGGGCACGAAGAGGACAGGTGAGGTGAGGTGAGTTTCGGGAAAAGCATCACACATAAATTTATTTATATGATGCTGAAATATATGTAAATTCTCTCGATCAACCCTCCAATCGCGGATTATTATTCTCGCGTTTTATTGGTAATTATTGGTAGTTGGTTTGTCCATATTGTCTTTTTATATCCACAAAGTGAGAAAAAAACAGGTACCAACTAAATTGGTATTGTTTGATCAAAATCAAGAAAGGAACATTTTGATTTCCTTAAGAGACCGCTTTTTGAAAAGACATCCTGTTTGATCAAAACATGATAGGTATTTTTTTTATGTTTTCCTTTAAGATTGCTACTTTTGTATAAAATTTAATAAAATAAACTACAGCCTAGTAGTGTTAAACCAACATATCTTTCTTTATATGGAAAAAAGTCAGAAAAAATAATCACAGTGAAAGTACATCATCAAAGGTGTCCTGAATATCTCCAAAAGTTACTTCGGTAATCGAGTCTGTTTTTGAAATTTCAACTTCCTCGGTATTTTTTTTACTGTTTTATTTTGTCAATTTTAAAACAAATTACCGGTATTAAAGAACTGTATTTTACAAGCAACACATTCATGAACTATTCAATAAAACATTATTTAATATATGGATATATATATTAACATTTATATTTAAAGAAGTAGCAATATCAGTAAATTTTGTGTTTTAAATAAACACTGCTCTACTGGAATTTTCCTGATGAGTGCTAGACCCTTAAAGAAGTAAATTAATATCTTGCACTTATTCCAATCCGAATTTTATGTATATATTCCCTGTGTTTTGAATGAATGAGAACAAACTCAAGAAAAAGTACACACCAATAAATTTTTCAATCAGAACAACTTTCTTGACCTAGCTTTTAGGCTATTATTGTCCAAAAAAATTAAGAGGCAGTCCACTGAAAATCAGGCAATGAGTGGCACATCGCATGTCATGGATTTTTATTATTTCTTGCATATAGACTTATTAAAGCAAGTGTTTACACATGACAACATCAAAAAAGTTTTAGTGCTCCTCTAGTCCTATTTTTGGTAAGTGCTCAATTTTAAGTGCAAAAAGGTCAACATGGGGGTAAAAAAAAATTACTACGTTTTTATTTTGTTTTATATGTACCAGATACGCAAAACCTGGATGTGTCTATCAATATTATTTATACCATAGACTCTTATCTTTAATTTTAGTAATGAATAAGACTCCAATTTATATTTCTTAAGAAAAAAAATATGTGGTCCAAAATTGAGTTTAGCAAGTAATTTTGTGAATTCATTATCCAATTTTCATTACGTTATAAAACCCAATACATTTCAATGACAGATTTTTTTCTCATGTTATTATGAATACAAAGTACAGCTGTACAAACTTTTGAATCACTCAATAAAATCAGTGGACACCCGTATATTGAGAGAAATAAAAGGAGTCAAATTTACCTATGTTTTACAATTTTTTACAATTAAACCGATCCCGACCGGAATTATATAAAGAAGCAAATACTATAATTGCAATGTTAAATTTGGCTCTTTTGTTGTAATATGGCCAAAAAATTACTTGATTTATTTTTGTACAAGTCTTATGGGTGACAGTTGTCTTTAGTTTTATGACTTTACACATTTTGCATTATTTTCGATCGGGATCGGTTTTATTTCAATCGGGATCGGTTTTTACCGTAAATTTTGAAATATTCTTCAATTTAATTTATCAGAAAAATATGCTTGTTTTTTATTTCTTTTCAGTTAGTCAACTGTTTTTAAAGCATCCTAGCGTTATTATTTATCTTATTTCCAAGTAAAATTTCTCTTTTATTTTCTTACGAATTAAAGACTCAATTTCAATCAGTGGAGAAATTAAACTTGCCTAAATGCAGAACATATTTTAAGTAAGTGTACAGTCTCGACTTTTTTTTACCTGATATCTGTAAAGCCTTTCCCCCTATATCTTCCTCTTTTACAAAATATTATCTTAGTAAGAAAATAATTTCTAACATATATACAATATCATTATTTAATAGCCCATAAATCGCAAGTAAAAAGCCGGGGGGGGGGATCATGACATCGTTATTTTTAAAAACTGGTTTCATGAACGTGAAAACATTTTTGAATTGGCCAACATAGTCACATATTTAACTCCATATTAAATTTGAGTATGTAATTGGTTCAATTGCCAAATAAAAAAAAAATGATAATATTTAGAATAAAATAAAAACCGAAATGTTTCACTAAACCATATTCCGGTTAAGTGCCAAATTATTGTGGGAAGTTCAGCTGTAAATGAACTCCATAAATATATTTTTATAACTTATTTTTCAGTTTTTACAAATATTATGAAGTAAACATCTCAACTTTAATGAATTTAAATGTTGCGTAAATGTAAAACATTCATCATTGATTCCTGCATAATCAGAAGAAAATAAAATCTCTTCACATCCCAATTTTATAAGAAATGTTCATTTTAAACACTTCATAAATTATTTTAACGCATATCCTAGTAAATCCATTAAACAATTAGTTTTCAAACATGCATAAAATTACTAATCAAAACGGGCTTGTTTTAATGCATCTGGCTGAGACGCTGCCCGTGTATAAAATACATTTTGATATAAAAATATTATCTAACATTTAGAATAATGCACTCTGAAGAGTAATTAAACAGAAAAAGATAAATTATTTTTTTTATTCTTTTTTCACAATTTTACGCAAAGAATTTACAAACTTCTCTGGAAAACTTGTGACAATTTCATTGTGACGCAATAGTAGTAAGGTAAATGACGTCACTGATACATCAATGGAAACGTGGATTCGACCTGAATAATAGAGCCAATTTTAATCCAAATTTTACGTTTGGAGGTGAAAATGAATTGTATTTTGAAAATAAATTAGTTATTTTTGTTAAATAATTTTCTTTAGTGTATCGATTCTAAATTTTTCACTAGGATTCCGATAAAAAGGTGTTTAGCATATTTATCGATGCCACGGGAGGTAACTTGCAAAATTTCATAAAACGTCTTTATATTTTGACAGAAAACTATTATCAGAAAAGTGTTTTGCCCACCAATTTTATTTTTGAAACTTAAAGACGAATTATTTCTAGATTTAGTGCAGCATGAATTATACTCCTTTTAAATAAGTATTGGAAATTACAGTTCGTTGTTTCTGACCTAAATTCAATGGTTTATATAGGGGAATTAAAGAACACGAAACGAAAGGATATTTTACTGAATAAGCAATTTTAAAACAAATCTTCGATTACATTATTCCATTTGGACTACATTGATATTGTTTTCAATAAAATTTCAAATATTCGTCACATTCGATGTGCCGCCTATTAATACAACCCTGCCTGATTTTCAGTGGGCTGCCTCTTATCCAGTTAATTTTAATCTGTTTAGCTAAATTATGCTAAATTACACCTCTAGCGACAAGCAGAACTTACAGACTGGAATATAATATTTATCTGTTTATTTCACAGTCAGATCACGATTGATTTTTTTTAATCTCTAAAGGCGTATTGTCAGTGTTCCATTATTTTTAAAAGCAAACCATCTCAATTTTTACATCTTATATTCTGTTTCATCTTTCAACAAACCAGAGCAAATCAAGGGTTCTGCTACTTTCTTTTAAGAGTGCTGTCGTTAATGTCAACAAGGTCAAGGACGAATTATTCTGAAGTATACGTGCACTTACGATATTTGTTGACTAAAACAATATTCGAAGAACTTACACCTGTATTTTATTGATTGTTTGGAAAATTTTAGTGGAATTTAATCGACATTCATCTCGAGTACGTTTCATTCATACATTGCGATATAAAGTACATGTACATGTAAAAAAAATTAACAAATTGTATTGACGCTTTAAAAAGAAATAATATTAAGTATACGTAAATGGAATTATATTGAAAAAAAAATAAACGTTTCATTTTATTCAGAAATTATCGATGTGTAAACTTTTGCCTTTGTTCGTACTTGCAATGTTCACATTAAAGTTGCACTTTTATTCATTTTTTGAGCAAGAAGGCATGAGTTAACTCATCCATGAATTCTGAAAGAAGAACGTTTAATCCTATATCAAATACATGATACAATTGTAGTTACACTTCCTTTCCGAATCAGACTGCAGTGGAAAATTAATATTAATAATGTCAACAGTATCGATAATATTTAATTTACATTAGAATAAGTTTGAGATTCAAGAGAGTAAGTCTGAGTTAGTGAAAGTTATAGATAATATACCTTGACAATTGTCCCCGTCAAAACCAATAGTACAGTTACACGTGTATCCTCTTATCCTGGATTGGTGCGCCACACAAGTCCCACTCTGACAATCATGGTTGTCACATACATCAACTACATAAACAAATATTTAAATTGTTTCTTAAATCTTAAACCAGGTGCTAAATTAGCAGAATTAAAATGTAAATGACACATTTTACCTTGATTAAGGAATGAAATGACGACAAATTTGCAGCATGGAATTGCTTTTCATATAATTATTGGTAATTATTCGTGGCAGGTTTGTCCGAATTGTTTTTTAAAAAACAATCTCGGGAAAAACACGCTTCGACTTCATTTGTTTTGTAGGATCAAAAAAATGATGGGCACTTTATTTTCCTTTAAGATTGCTATTTTTCCATAAACAGTTTTACTCAGCTATGTTATGGAAGGTCGGAGTTCACATTCGTGGTGCACCACTTTGGAAGTTTAATTGTGAAGTCATGAAATTTAACAAGCCAGAAAAATCAAATTAACGACATAATGAAGCGAAAATAACAACATGAATTTATTTATTTTTATCAATTATTTATAAAATCTTGTTAAATTGAAATAATTGATAACAGTACGGTCGAGTAATAGAAGAATGTCTCCAGTCAAATATGACGTCACCAGCCCAGACATGACGAAGCACAGGTAATCCAGAGGACTAGATTCACTAGACTAAATTAATAATTATAAAAGTGCTAAAATAAATATTAAATCATCGTTTTTAACCTAGTCATTAAAACTAAAAAAAAAATTAAATACAAATTTTAAAGAATATGAATTTATCTAGTAGTATTGGAGCTGCACAGGGACAAGGAATGTAAAGAATATCGTTAGAACAATAAGCGTTATCGTGATTTACATCCAAATTACAAGGAAATAAAGTATTTTGTTTGAGCTGAAATAGGAATATTTATTGCTTTATAGTGAATATTTTGAAAAGTGATGGGAGCCGATCCTGGTCTGCATGACATTATATTTATTCATTACAGATTTTAAGCGAAGATGACTTTTTTTTTAGCTATTATAAGCATTTTCGGCAAAATTTTCAGGACTTCCCAAACAACACAGACTAGCTACAAGCACATTTCGGGTAGAGAAAATAAACATTTTCAATGTATATCCTTTTTTTAAAAAAAACAAAACAAAAACACAACCTCATGCCCTTTGACTAAACCCGTTTTCTACATTCAGTATAACAATTCTGTTTTTATACAAGATACGTGTCAAAAAGCCCATGCATCCCATATACTGTATGTGTACAAAATTAGCGTTTTCAAATTTAGCGCAATCCCCAGGTATGTAGTGGTTGGCGTTGTCATGAGTTAGCGCTACACATATAGCGCTAACAATTTGTTGTCTATGCATATAATAATTTTTTTTTTATATATCTTACACCTAATAATTTTTAAACATCGTATTCGATTATTGCTTTTCAATTAGCGCTTCCACCTGGCTGTAAATATTTATTGTGCGGTCGAAGTTTGGGTGTTGAGCAATTTATTACAATTTACTAGTAATTAAGAAAAATTACCGGGAGCTTAAGATTCTCTAGTCCAGGAGGATCAATGATGTGTAATTATGTCAGGGTAGTATTGTTTAAATATAATACCGCACGTGCAATGTACATTGTCGGGGTTTACCAAAAGACAATATGCAGGTCGACTCAGTTGAACTAAATGGCCCAGGAGACAGGTACCAATTACCCATTTTAAATTTAAATTGTTGCTCAAAATTACGGCGAAAAAATCACACTAATCACACGAGACATGGAGTTTTTTTTTTTGCATACAAAATGATACATTTATATAAAGGTATTGAATAAATTGGGCTTGGTGTTCAAGTCCTGAAAAATGGTAGATCGAAGCAAATAAATGAAAAATCATATCGTATTCATTTATTAACGGTAATCATGAATCAGCAAATTGCTGTTTGTGAGAAAGCCGCTAAAATATCAACCCAGCTTGTTTTAGCACACATACAGTAACTGGTACTGCGCACTGCCCAGCCTTATTTATTATGGATAGCTATATTACATTTTTTACAGTTATTCAGTCGCTTTGTTACAACATATTAAAACGGTGCTAAGGTCACATTTTTCATATCGGTCCGAAACACAGCTGAGTATAAATCAATTTTAAACAAAGAAAAGTCTTAAATAGCTTTTTGCACAAATGCGTATAATTGATAAAAGAAGGATAAGGATACAAAATAGAAGCAGAGCCAGCACGGGCCTCCGAAAATCTCATTGTCTAGATATTTGAAACAACCGTTGCAGAGCAATGAGGGGGATTCCTCATTTAATTTTTTCTGGTCTTTAGTTATACGAATGATATTTTTTTTTCAAATTGTACCCCACCGTAACACAAGTAAAATATAAGGGTGATCGTATAATTTGGAAGCACCTTTTCTAACAAAGAAAACATCACTTAACTTTCTCGTCGCAAACCAAATGATAGTCTATTTACAGCTATTTCTCAGAAACCATTCTAATAAAACCATACTCGTAGAATAGAAATTAAAAACAGTAAAGTAAATCATCGTGGGAGTATGTAATACTACAAAGGATGCTACATGAATGAGCTTTCTCTTTAAACTGCAACTCCTTTGGTGATTTTTTTTTACTGTTTTATTATCCCGATAAAAATTAGTCAGCGTAAGCGTAAATGAAACTCTATGACATTGCTATGAATTTTGCTGTACGCTAAAGTAATTTAGAGTATTCAGAGAGTTCTTTTTAGGGTCAAAATGCAGTGGAAAGTTAATTATGTCAACAGTTCAGCATCTTTAATTGGTTCTAGAACAACTTTGAGGTTCATAAAAGTAAGCTTCTGGCTTGTTGCGATGAAGGTTAAACACAATTTTCCTTGACAATCTTCCCAGACAAAGCCAGTGGTTTTAGAGTTTCATGGGCATGTGACATAAAGTCGGTAACGTAATAACTAGGGGCGATATTGTTCATGTACCAAATTTATGTCATATTCTAATGAATCTCTAAGTATATTTTATTACGTGGACCCTGAGGTCCACGCAGTAAATATATAAACGAGGTTTAACCGGATGTCATAGTCAAAAATTTAGACAACTTGTCCGTAGAATAATTAGGCCTTTTCAAATTAGAATATGCTAATCCAGGCAAATCTCGCTCTCATTGGCGGATGCATATGTCTCTATAATACATAATTTTATTTTACGAACAAACTAAGAATTTATTCTATGGCACAAACATCTTTAAGAATGAACTTGCAGTAAGTAGATACTCGTAACATAACAACTTGAAAAAAAAATCATTCAACGACTAGTTTTAGGTTTTAAAAGATTGAACAAGTCTTTAACTATTGTTTTATATCTTCTTACCTGTCCATAATTTGTTAAACATATTGAAGAGAAGTTGCCCAGAATGTTAAAAGCTTTTAGATTTTTATGTGATATCAAGAAAAAGAGGCTGATTCCTCAATAAGGGTCTCAGAAGGGCCAAAATTCTTTATCCATATTTCTTTAATGAACAAGATTTTTAAATACATTTCTGAGACAAGGATCTAAACAATCTGCAACAAATAATAGTGAAATTATATATGTGAAATTAGTTGCCAAAATGCTAAATCTTTGATTCTTTCTACCTCCAAAGGCAGAAATATTTTGATAAGTAGTTTTGAGAATAAAGATGTTCAGAATCGTATTCCAAACAATATACAACAATTGCAAAACGGTCCAATTCAGAACTTAAAGGGCTGGCCATTTATTTATTTCTATTCTATATTGCTCAAGAATGAAAAGAAAAAAAAAATCTTTAAAATCAAACGCCTTTTATTTAATTGAAAAGAGGCAGACCCATCAAATAAAGGGGCCTCGAGGGGCCAAAACTTTCTCATCTATACCTCTTCACTATCAATGTCTTGTTATAAATTACTGAAGCAAGAATATTTATCTTAACACTTTGCAACAACATATAAAAAAATTATTATAATATGTTACGTAATTAGGGTCAATAACGTTACAAAATGCTAAATCTTTGATTCTTTATATCTCCAAATAATTTGATCAGCAGTATTAAATAAAAAATATTTTGATTCAAGTTTTAAACATTTAACAACCATTCAATTTCTTGCAAAACGGCCCCATTTAGAATTTGAAGGTCTGGCCCTTTTATATTTCTATTCTGCATTGCTCAAAAACGAAAAGAAATTTGGGATTAGTTGCCGCACAAAAACTCTTTAGAATCACGAGCCTTTTCGTTTGATATAAAGGAAAAGGGTCTGTCCCCTGAATTAAGGGGCCTAGAGGGACAAAAAAAATAATCTATAATTGTTTTTATGTTTTGTTATAAATTAATGAAGCAAAAATATTTATCTTAACAATCTGCAATAATATATTGTAAAATCATGATCATATGTTACGCATTTAGGGGCAATAAGAGGCCAAAATGTTATTTATTTGAGTCTTTATACCTCCAAAGAGATAAATATTTTGATGAGCAGTATTGAATAAAAGAGGTTCATATCGTATCCTTATCAATTTAACACCATTCAATTTTTGCAAAACGGTCTTTTTAGGGACTTGAAAGGCTGGCTCCTCTATATTTCTTTGCAGCATTGCTCGAAATCGGGAAAAAAAATTTCTGAATAGTTCAAACCTTGAGGTTTATTATTTGATATGAAGATAAATGGTCTGATCCCTAAAATTAGGGGAACAGATGGGACAAAAAACTTTCATCTATAGCGACATGTATTTTATAATGTTATTTAAATCAAACGAAGGGGGGAAGTCTTCATATCATCATGTTTAAACAAAGATCATAATCAAAATCGTATCTCATTTAATCGAAAAATCGGACGTAAGACCTACTCGTTGATCGCAACGAGATCTTTTCTAGTTTTTATTCCTACATAGTCTGTTTTTGCCCATATACTCGTATATTGCATTTCTTTCCGGTTTCTCCATTGCTTATATCCACACATGCTCTCCGCTAAAAATAGCACCATGAGACTTTTTTAAACGGGATATTATACTTTAAAACTAAGACTACTATTTGCTCCTATGTACAATTTATTAGAAAGATAATTTAAAAACATACAGAGCATGGGAAATTGATTAAACACAAAGAATATTAATCTTTGACAGGGTTATTCTTTTTCTTGGAAACTTGAATTAAATTCTTGTCGATTATAGTCTTGTTAATACTTGTTATTTAGTCTTTTGAAAAGGCATGCAATGCGCATGGCAGTCGTAGTATAAACAAAAACAACTACTCAAGTCATTACAAAGTAGATGTCAGCGCTTAAATGCAATATAAATTTCATCATGGTGGCCGATGAGTTGAACCATGGCGCAGCTCGTTTAATCGTGGCATATAAACATTTGACGGGCGCCATGGTAAAACCCCTTGCGGAAAACCCTGGAATTAAATTAAAATTCCAATTGATTTTTGAATCGAAAGAACAAAATATCATTTCAACATTTCAAAGTAAACGAAATGAAAATCTATTTACCACTATTTTTATGAAATCATTCTCATAAAAAAACATCTTATTTATATGAAAAAAAATCATTAGAAATTAAAAACAGTGAACTTAATTCATCAAAGGACCTGTAGTACTAAAAAGGTTGCTTTGGTAATTGAGCCTGATCCTTAAACTACAACTTCTTCCTTTTTTTTTTTTACTGTTTTCTTATGCCGATAAAAATTGAGCAGTGTAGGCGTAAAAAACTATATTGTACATGTACGATATCTATGAGCTGCGCAATGAAATATAGATTACCTAGATTATTTTGGAAATAGACAAGGCTATACAGTGAATTTTGTTCTTCTGCTATTTTTCATGATGTGCGCTAAAGTAATTCAGAGTATGTTTACATACAACATTTGTTTTCAACAATAATTAAATCCATAATACAACACTTTCTTTCCGAGTCTGACTGCAGTGATAAATTGAAAATGTCAGCAGTAACAAAATATTTAATTAATTCTAAAAGAAGTTTGAAGTACATGAAAGTAATCTTAAGACTTGTTGCAATTTTAAAATTATAGATAATATACCTTGACAATTGTCCCCGACAAAGCCGTTGCTACAGTTACACGTGTATCCTCTTATCCTGTGTTGGTCCGCCATACACGTCCCATTCTGGCAATCATGGTTGTCACATACAGCAACTATGTGAACAAATATTTAAATTTTATTATACAGCTAATAAATAGTCTCTAATGAAATACTACCAAAAATCTAGAGAATTTTAACGTTCAATATCTTGACGTTTTATTGAACGCTAACTTTGTATTACGAATATGAGTATGCCCGAAACATTCCGAATACGAGCATTCAATATCGAACGCCCCGTTGTAAACCATAAAACTCGTCTGGTCAAATTCTCAGAGATAAATTAAAGAAAGGAAGTGGCATCTAGGTAAGATTTGTTTATTTTTCACACAAAAATGAAATTATTTATTAAAATATAGTACGTATTAGACCCATTAAAACCTAAATAAGCAAATCATATCGCTTGGTGGGGTCATCGGAATGATGCGATATTGAACGCTAACAGGACAGACGTTAATTTGAATACCGATACTAAAAAAATCAACAATTTGAGGGTTTTGTTAGCAGGGATAATTATTATAAATTATTTGGAAATGTTTTAGCTATATAATAAAATAGTTATTGAACTTATATTGGTGAATATTGGCACTCGTTGGCTGTTCAAATGCACTCGCAAGCTCGTGCATTTGAACAGCCAACTCGTGTCAATATCCACCAATATAAGTTCAATAACCCTATAATATACATTTCATTCATGGTCCTCAAACAGCATGAAAAGAAATTAAAGTAGAATAGAGTTGCAACATTATTGATGACCTAAAATGACCAGAAAGTACCATTTTAGAAATAAGATACCTTTTTTTAGAATTTCATAGACATGTGACATGAAGTCGATAACGTAATAACTAGGGGGCGATATGGAAGATTTGATCATGTACCGACTTTATGTCATGCCATAATGAATCTAAAAAACATTTTATTTCTTATCTTTATCATGTTTAATTTTTATTTAGCTTTTTTTTCATTTATGTATCGATTTCCCATACTTTTGAAGCAACGAATAATGATCATATGCCACAAAATATAGTTTGGTAGATTAATATGTACATGAGAGAAACATGTACATGATCTACATAAGACAATATCAGATGCAAATATTTAAGAAATGAACGTTATTCAGTGAACATGGCGCTATAAATAGCAATTGCTCTGCTGGCAAATTTCATGATGCGTGCTAGCACATCATGGAAAGTATGCCAGCAGAGCTATTGCTATTCGTAATGTCATGTTCACTGAATAGTCGTTGTTTATAACTTATAATTGCACTCTTTGATGTTGTCAAGAAAATCAGAGGATCTCCTGGCTTACCTAAGGTTGCGGCTTGTTGTCTTCAGTGAATAAAAACTCACAGCCATAAAATCAGTATACCTGATCAGTGTACTTTTTTTCTCTAATAAATCACAAACAATTCATAAAGATTTTGCCTTTTAAACACAATTATCTGGATACAAGCTGCGCTGTCGTCACATTATCTAAGTTTTGTTTTGATGCAGTTGTGACGTCATCGATCAACGTTATTGAATCCCTATGACAAAAATCAATAATTTAACACTATGATGAAAAAAGACAAAGCTTTAATAAAAATTATAACTCCAGAATGCTTTATATGATTTTTCTTATATTTATTTTTATGTAACAGGGTTGATGGTAATAATGAAAACGCCTGTCAGGGTCCGTACTGTTTATTAATTGTAGTGAAAATAAATTACATCTAATTTTGCCATGAAATGAATAATTACAATATTGAGTAAAATCATAAAATCATTAATGCACAAACTAATATTATACACAATGCTGCATAAAGGGAGGTAATTCTTACTTTCATTACACATCTTGACATATGATATAATACTCCCTTAGAATTTACACTTTGTGCATATAATTAAAATGCTTTACAACAAAATATATATTACTATTAAAGCTATAATATCTTCATATACATTATATACCTTTTACTTATAAACAATAAATCATAAAAACAATAGTATACCATTCTGAGGGAATGAGCAAGGTTCCGTGGTTTATCATTCAGTATATGGCTGGGAGTCTAGATGATAACTATAAATTATCATAAACCTTATATAATTCTCTGATCATAAAACATATGTTCATATTATCTAGATCATAAAATACCCTAACTTTACTGCTAATAACTAAGTAAAAATCTTACTTCCAAAATCTCTCTAACTGTGTAAAAGTGCTATGGAAATTGATATTGCAAGAATTACAGATTTGACATTTAATGATCTATTTATTAAAGATATGTTAAAGTTAGTAAATAAATATTAGCTTACCAGAAGATGAAGAAAGTCTCAGTCAGAATGTCAAATTTGTCATGAACAAAATCAATGGAACCTCTCTACAAACAATCTGGACAAAGAGTGACCAGAAAAACCAAGAACCTTTGGAGGGAATTTGACAAACCAATAAAACACAAGAGCACAAAAACTAAAACCCAATAGAAACAAATGACTTATAGAACTTATGGCCAAGACCTTAATTATAACCCTAAGGCAATAACAGGGTAGCACTGTAAGTTACACCTGAATGACTATACACTTATCTAATAAGCTGAAATAAAAATATATATAAATAGAATACAAAATAATTTGATATTTATTAATTAATTAGAAATTAATTAATAAATCATCACTATTACATTTAGGGAATTTTCAAAGGAAACCAAAACATTTTGGGGCATTTGGTAAAATCAGGGGGGTTTTTTTGTCTGTGAGATTTCTAGAATAGCTGTATATTTAACAATTGCATAAAAAAATAATGCATTTTACTCGAATGCATCATATCTATCTAGAAAAAAAGGGTATGACCAAACTATCATACATTTCTAAGGGTATTATTCCTACTATGCATTTCATTTTTTGATGAGTATATTATCTCGATGCCTGAGATAGATCAGAATCACTGTGGTTCTGGGGTGGACTCAAGGAAACAGACCTGGGTCTCAAATGGAAGAAGGCAATCATGCCTCATTTTATAAATGTCTTGGTAACTTGGTTATTAATTGATGACATTCTTGTCTCCCCACAAAATAAACTCTTTTCAAATTAATGAAGACTTGTTTTTTTTTTTAATTTTTGTCCTTGCGTTGTGAGCAAGAAATCAGATAAAAGTACAGCCCTTGAACCAAGTACTTCTAACATGGAGATTTGTATTCATACACAGGAAACTTTCACGTAACCGACTTTATTTCATGGAAAACTAAATTTCCTGTTATAGTATTCTCATTTAAAGAAAGACAATGCCCAGCAGGCATTTGAACGGTGATTCAACGTTGTATTTACTTTGCACTCCAACTTTGAATCAACGTTGAATTGTGGTTGCATAATGATATGAAAATTGACGTAACCTTGGAACGTTGTTTAACGTGCAGATATCGACATTGAAAAAGAAAATTATTACGTTGACTTTTGATTGAAATTTTCAATTGTTCAAACGTTGATATTTGGTTGAAATCACGCTGAATTTATATTAAGGTTTGTATTATAAACAAAAACACTTCAAATGCTGATTAAAGGATTTTTTATTTATTTGTAAGTTGAAGTTCAGAGTAGTGGAGTGTGCTTATATAGATCACGATTCAAATTTCGCGCCAATGACGTCATCAACCTTTCGACCAATCAGAAGGCAGCATTTGAATTTTGGTCACGGGACCCTTTAGGCGGGAAAATCAGATTTTTAAATCATCTATGTTTATGGGGGCCCAGGGTCAAATTTAAAAAAAAGTGTCCCGAAGGATAGGGTTCTACCTATCAAATGAAAGGTCTGGACGAGGAGAGGTCATCCCGGAGGTGGTCCGGGGTCATTTAGTGCCAAATCAAAAATTTACTTAAAAAGTAGCGTGTGACATATCAAACGGAAGATCTCGACGAGGAGAGGTCATCCCGGGGGTGGTCCGGGGTCATTAAGTGCAAAATCAAAAATTATCAAGAGGGTATCCTGTGACATATCAAATAGAAGGTCTCAACGCGTAGAGTTCAGCCCGGGGGTGGTCAGGGGTCATCAAGTGTAAAATAAAAAGTTACCCAAAGGGTATCTGTGACCTATCAAATGGAAGGTCTCGACGAGTACAGTTCAGCCCGGGGTTGTTCTGGGGTCATCGAGCCATATCATCAGCATTTATCAAAGAATTAAACTTCTTTGGCCAATGCAGCCATTTCACAAAATATTGCTTGTTTGGTCCTCTTCCACGGGTCTTGAGGATCTTTTCAATCTTAAACGTATCCTCGTCTCTAACATCCACTTTTTGGAGTTCCGGTTGATAGAATGTGCCAGTAATGGCTTCGTCATTGTAGTCCTTGAGTTTGTACACTGGAATGCCGTTCCTCAGGAAACGTCGAAACACGATGAAAATTTCACCAGACCACTTTTGATCGTATTCCCTGTCAAAAATGGATGATATTTTCGAAATGCGGACTTTATCACCCACTTTGTACTTGTAGGGCCGCTTTGATTGTTTGCGTGGGATCTCCTCTCGAGACAGGAATGTTGATACGCGCACTTCTTTTTCGTTGTTTGGTCTAACCAGTGCAGGTTCAGTGTCAATGGTGCGGTGGTACATCTTGTTGTAACTCCGAGCGAATTTCTGAAGACGATCAATGTATCGTTGGGATTGTTTGAATGTCATGTAACGATACATCTTAGTTTTGATCGTCTTGATGGCTCCCTCTGCATAGTTGGCTTTCACTTCGGTGTTTTGAGAATAAAAATGTTCGATGTTGTGATCCTTTAATACATCATTGAAGGCTTTTGATCGGAATTCTTGTCCTTTGTCCGTGCGAAGCTTCGTAGGTTGCCTCCCCTCACGCAATACGTCTTCGAAGGCCCGGGCTGTCGTTGGCCCTTTCTTATCCTTTAAAGGTCGCATCCACAGGTACTTGGAGAAGATATCGATGACCAAGAGTACGAACTGCACACCCTCATTTTCTGTGCTAAATCTGGTCATGTCCATGAGATCAGCGTCCCATTGATCATCAAGGCCAGCGACGACTACTTGATTGCGACGATAATGTCGTCTCACGGGTTGCTGAAGACTGTA